ATTTTGTAATTTGAAATAGTTGTTGCTCTTATTTTCAGTTAAGACAAGTTTTTCATGTGTTTGGATTTCAATCTTTTATTTGGTTTGCAAAAGTCTTCTGCCAATCCATAGCCTGCCTGCTCATTTGGTTAGTTGTTGCCCTTGCTGTGCAGAAGCTTTGGTAGTTGGATGTGCCCTTGCTTTCCTGTTTTTTCTGTTCTTACAGTGCTTTGTATTTCATATTCAAAAGATCTTCCCCAAGCACCGTCATGGAGCTTTCCCCTGCATTTTCTTCTAATAATTTTTCATTTTCATTTGTTATGTTGAATATCTTCATACATTTTGAGGGTTTTTTTTTTTGTGGAACTGGGGATTGAACTTAGGCCCTTGCACTTGCCATGGAAACACTTATTCCACTGAGCTGTCTCCCCAGCCCTGAGTTGAGTTTTATGTGTGAATTGAGATATAGAATGATTGTCATTGTGTAGTCTATGAACATGCAGTTATCCCATGCAATTTATTCAAGACAGAGGTCCTTTTACTTGGTGTACTCTTGAGACCATGGTCAAAATTCAACTTACTCTAAATACATTCATTTGTGATTCTTAGAACTTTATTTAGCCACATTGTCCAATAAGACTGTTTTGAATGCCAGTACCCTGTGTATTGATTACCATAGCTTTGGAGTAGATTTTAAAATGAGGTATTATAATGATGCCTCCAGAATTACTCATCTTCTGAAGATTGGCCTTTTGGAGCTCTTTTATGTAGAGTTTGCATGTATATTTTATGATTTTTTATAAGTTTTTATTTATTTATTTGCGGTACCGGGGATTGAACTCAGGATCTTGCACTTGCCAGGGAGGCGCTTATTCTATTGAACCATCTCCCCGTCCCTTTTTTTAAAATAAGTTCTTATTTATTGATTTTTTTATTTCTGTAAGAAAATGTTAGGATTTTGATTGGAGTGCACTGAAGGTATAGTTTATTGTAAGTAGTATGAACATTTACAGATACTAAATCACCTGTAGATTTTCATTTTTTTGTTTCTTCAACTTCTGACATCAGTGGTTTATAGTTTGCAGTATTTAGACCTTTGACATTTTTGTTTAATTTATTCTTAAATATTTTAATTTATGGTAGTTATTATAGGTGGGTTGCTTTCTTTCTTCTTTGACAGTTTGTTGTTAGTGTATAAAATGTGTTCAATATTTATATGTTGACTTTTTTAATCCTACAATTTTACTAAATTTACTTATGAGTCATAAAGTGTGTTATGGTGGAATTGTTAGTTTTCTTCGTCTAGGGCTGGTGAGATAGCTCAGTAGAATGAGTGCTTGCCTGGCAAGTGCGAAGTCCTGAGTTCAATCTCCAGTACCACAAAACAAAACAAAACAAAACAAAACAAAACAAAACAAAACAAAACAGAAAGAAAGAAAAGAAAAGAAAAGAAAAGAAAAGAAAAGAAAAGAAAAGAAAAGAAAGACACAGCACAGTTTTCTCTGTCTAAAATCACACTATCTGAGAGTAAGGGCGGGTGAACTTCTTTCCTTCCATTCTGGAGAATCAGTACTTTTCTGCTTCCCTAGATCCTTAGGCTGGAACTTCCTGGGCCACATTGGTTAGAAGTACTAAGAATGGGCCTTCTTGTGCAGTTTAAGAAATAAAATTATAAAACTCATCTGCCAGCAATGAGATATTAATTTTTTCAGGAAACGCCTCTTCGTACCTTCATTTAGAAGGATTATTTCTCCTTATTGAGAACTCTCAGCTGAGGGATTCTTTTCTTTTTCTCCTTACTTCAGTCTAGTCTTTCTGGCCTGTTCTATGTCAGATGAGCAGTTGGCCATTAACCATATTGATACCTTTTCTTCTGTGCTGATTGTTTTTTCTCCTAGTCTTTTACCATGTTACCGTATTTTCCTTTGTTTGCCTTGGTGGTGGGATATATTTTGCTTTGAAGTATGGTTGATGGAGCCCAGGTGTTCCCACACTCACAAGAGCCCCTGACCACTGGCAGGTACTTTCTTTTTCTCTCATTGTGATCACCAGAATCCTGTCTGCATTGATTGGAATCATTTTGTTTCTATAACTGGGTTCATTGAGCCTCAATCATATGGAGCTTCTTTATCATTTAAATCTTTTGATTGGTTTTATTTTGTTTCATTTTTCACACTGAGTTCCATCTCCAGAACTCTTTAGTCTTTGTTTTGAGGTACAGTCCCTAAGTGAGTCCCTAAATGACATAGCTGGGCTTTAAATTGCGATCTTTCTGCCTCAGTCTTCCACTGTGCTGGTGTTACACACATGGCTCAACAAACATGGGATTTTTCTTTTCTCTAGTTCCAATTTTGTTTTTTCTATCTGGAATCAAACACACAACCTATGGGCTGTACCCTTGAACTATGTCCCCAGGTGAAGTGCATCTTTATTAAGCCTCATGGCCTTTCTTTTTTTTTTTTTTTAAGTCTTTTTTTTTTTAATTTATTTGTGTGTGTGTGTGTGTGTGTGTGTGTGTGTGTGGCCAGCTCAGCCCACCAGGGGGCAGGGCTGGCTGGCATATGGTGCTGGGGGATTGAACTTCGGTCCCTGTGCTTTGCCAAGCTTGTTCTAAGTAGGTGCTTTTGACCACTGAGCCATCTCACCAGCCCCCTCATGGCCTTTCATTCCATAGTCAAGAACTGCACCACTGAGCTGTAGACCTCTGTTCCTGACTGATGCTTTTCTTTAGAGGCATCTTCATGGTCAGTGAATCCTTCCTCAGCTTTCTTAATCCGCTCTTAATCCCATCTAATAATATTTTCTTTTCATTATTTCACTTAAATATATGAAAATTTTCATTTTTAAATATCTCCTCAAGGCAAAATCTCTACTTTGAATTATTAACTTCATGCTTTATTTCCTATTGCATAGGGGTCCTTAGATTTTTAACCTGCTTATAATAGGGTTGGAAGTCTTTGTCTCTGAAATCCAGTATCTAGGGTCATTCAGAGTTATTTTCCATTTATTCTTTTCATACATTTCCCCTGAATATGGGTCATACATTCTTTTATCCTTGTATTTCTCATCAATTTTAATTGTAAAATTGAGGTTTCAATAATTTTTATTATAATAATACAAGGGCTGACCAGATAGCTCAGTGGACTAGTGAGCCTGGTTAGGCAGACACAGTGGCTGGAGTTTGAGCCCCAGAGTTACATGCAAGTCCTGCTCCCAAGGTGCTCTGAGATGGTGATTGAGACTGGACATGGTGGCCCCCACCTATAAT